CTTCGGGCAAGTCAATTTCTATACGCTCAATTGGGATTAGGGTGAGATCGTCTATTGAATGGTCGTCGAGGTTGAAATGATTAGAAACAGGCTTATCTTTCTTTAATTTGATGTCTGACCTATGAGCATTAAAGCGAGTTCGTAAATTATTCTTAGTTTCTCCTACATATTGTTTGGGGCATTTCTTGCATGAAATTAAATATATTACATTCGAATGTTCACATGTTAGATGTTCCTGGATCGGGTACCTTTTATTCGTAGAGTTGCTTACAAAATAATGAGTTTCTGATATAAAGGGACATGTTTTGCATCTACTGGACAAACATGGAGCACTTCTTAAACCTGGAGGTACTTCGGCATAAAGTCTGTTTTTAGCTGCTATCTGTGCTAAGGTGGAATTTTTTATGTTTCGTAAAAATCGTTTAGAGTACCCATGCTCTTTCAGTTTTGAGAAAACAATCGTATAGGCTTGGTTGAAATCAGAAGATCTTGTACAAATTCGATGAAATCGTAAAACTTGTGACTTAATTATACCAGAAAAGGTATGTTTTGGGTGAAAGGAGCTCTTGTGCAAGAGTTGATGAGTATCAGTTTCTTTGAAATACACTTTAATATCCAGTTTATTTGTTTCTGCTATGGAATCTCCCATAAAGACTGTGGTATCGAGAAAGTCTATGCTTTTGTCACTCACGTTTGCGGTTAGTTTGATAGAAGGATGGTGGTTGTTGAGAATTTCAAAGAATTCCCAAAACTGTTCGATAGAATAAGTCCAAACCATAAAAAAGTCATCCAAAAAGCGTCCGTAAAAAAGTGGGTCAAATGGACAGAGGGGCAACACCTCACGTTCCCACTCTGCCATGAAAAGGTTTGCGTACGAAGGGGCGAATCGTTTGCCCATTGCTGTCCCTGAAGTTGGTAAATATGTTTTACCATTAAATGTGAAATCGTTTCGACTAAGACAAATCTCTAAAAGCTGTAGAATTGCATCGTCGGGTCTGTTTGGATCTGGGTTTCTATTAAAAGCTTTACGAACTGCCGTTAAACCAGTAGTGTTATCGATATTGGTATACATAGAAGAAACGTCGATAGAAATTAAAATGGCATTAGAGGGAACTCGAAGATTTTTTATTTTATTGACAAAATCGGTTGTGTCTTTAAGGTAGGCGCGATGTTGGCATGCTAGAGGTAGTAAGAAATGATCAATGTATTCTGACACTGCATATGACTCACTACCACAGTCAGATATAATCGGGCGGCCTTTAGGGATTTTATTCGAGATAAACCACTCCTTGGTTGGATTCTTATGGATTTTAGGCAAAGTGTACAAATGTCTCTCGCGACAATCAGGTTTGGCAGACAGATAGTCAGTCATATTTGATAGCTATCTTTGGTGTGGGAATAAACTTAAGTCCACGTCTAAGATTGAATGCTGAAGGGGTGTGAGAATTTTGCGGCTCAAGTTAACTACAGTTTGGCCTAGCGGTGGCCTCTCAGTATTTTTATCCCCAGTAATTAGTTTAAAGACTTACTCGATGCTTGAAGCTGGTGTATCCAAAACAAATAAATGCTGTTTCTGGAGACCAATGAAGATTATCAACTGTTTCGAATTCTTCTTCGTAGGGTGGTAAGATTGTTGCGCTGTTGATACTGGACTCCATCATCATGTTGTTGAGGGTGCTGAGGTTCTGTTGTGCTTTCTTCGAGATTTTATTTGAAATGGGTATACATGTGAAGAGGATCTTGGAGTTTGGGAAGGTTTTGTTGGCTGTGGCGATTAATTTCTGGGCTTGGTTAAAGGAGGTATTTGGTATCTGATCACGGTTGTTGAGGCCTACATGAAGAATAATGGTAGTAGGTTTGGGATCATGGTCGTATGATTCCAGGATTGACTGTATGTGATGGATTTGGGCACCGGGGTAAGAATGTATTTCGGTGTCTGAACTGGTTTTGGTAATTCGATTCAGGTTAGATGATCCAATTATTATGGTTGATTTCATTAGAGCAGGTAGTTTCCATAATGATTTGTCCTTGGTTTGGTGATAATACGGTTTGGTAGCGGATATAATGGTCGTCGACGGTGTGATTGGTACTGGTTTGGTAGTTGTTAGAATTGTAGCATTGGGAACGGACTGGGATCTGGTTCGAGGAGGGGAAGGTCTGGATACACGTCTCGACTTGGATGGAGACTGAGGGGTGGTTTGCTGGTCCAAAAACGCACAGAAGGAAGAAAGGTTGGCGGATCCTGGATCACGTGGTGAAGATTCAGATGGTGTGGAAGGGGAAGACGAGTCTGAAAGTGAAAAGAGAAGGGGTGTGCCCTCTCTACGAGAGCGTTTACCTATGTCTGCTGGACTATGAGTAGGTGAACTTCGGGCTCGTTTAGGGGTTTGGTTCGGCAGCGTGGTAGCTCTAGATGGTGCAGGTGTTGTGTCCATTTCAGTTGGTAGAGATATGGTTACTCTGGTTTTTGTTTCGTTGATTGTTTGGTAGAATTTGGAAATTACAGCTCGAGTGAGACGTTTCCCATAGGAGCGACGGGCCCAGGACAGGGCATGAAAAACGATGCGGTCGACGGCAGGTGATGATAAAGACTTGGTACGAATGGTGGTCAGCTTCTCTTGAAGTGTGGTTTGGTAATGGTCGATCAGGACCTGCGTAACCTTACAGAGCCATGTCCGATTGAGGGATCTAATATTTGCGTCGACAGCTGATGTTTTCATTGCTGGACGGATAAAACTATCCAACTCAGAGACTTTGCGTTTGAAGGTAAACGCTGG